GGCGTGGCCACAGGCTGCTGCGCAAAGGAAACTACGCTCAACGGGTGGGTGCCGGCGCCCCCGTCTACCTGGCGGCCGTGCTGGAGTACTTGACCGCTGAGATCCTGGAGTTGGCCGGCAACGCAGCCCGCGACAACAAGAAAACGAGAATCATCCCTCGTCACCTGCAGCTGGCCGTGCGCAACGACGAGGAACTCAACAAACTCCTGGGCGGAGTGACCATCGCTCAGGGCGGCGTGTTGCCCAACATCCAGGCCGTTCTTCTGCCCAAGAAGACCGAGAAACCAGCCAAGTCCAAGTAAAAAGGGACTCTGACTCTTCCACAACCCCAAAACGGCTCTTTTAAGAGCCACGCACCTTGCCTCTAGAGAGCATTTCTCCTTTGATACGCGTTTAATGCAGATTGAAAAAAAAAAATTGAAATCATGGCTCACACAAATGCAACACACGAAGTCTTAACTTATCTATGTTCTATTAAATTGCACTATTGTTCCAAAGCATGGTGACCATTCATTCTGAAAGACTCGTGCGTGTGCAAGATACATTGACGTACATTACACTCTGCATGTCCGGGGTCCCATAAAGATGACGCCTTTTTCCACTTGCGATAAAACAGTCGTGTATGTAAATGGAACACTTGCACCACCTAGCGACTACTGGTGTCACAACAAGATGTCAGTCTGAAATGAAAATGGGAATTTATCCCTTTCACGATTGTGTGATCCTTTTAAACACGAGTTTTAGTTATGACGTATCTATCCAAATGCAACTCGTGAAAGAATGTTTGCTCTTTAAAGGTGGTGGGGTGGCTCTTAAAAGAGCCTTTTGTGAGTACAAGTGTAAAATCACTTCTTTTTGGGTGCTGCCTTTTTGACACTTTTGGGCTTGGCCACCTTCTTAGCGGGGCTCTTCTTGGCGGCGGGGGTCTTCTTGGCCGCGGGGGCTTTTTTAGACGCCGTCGCTTTCTTTGGGCTTTTGGTGGGCTTCTTGGCCGCTTTCTTGGGCGTCGAGGCCTTGGCGGGTTTCTTCGGTGATTTCTTCGCGGCCGCCTTCTTGGCTGGGGTTGTTTTGGGCTTCTTGCTCGGAGTTGCCTTCTTGGCAGGCTTCTTAGCTTTCGTGGGGGTCTTCTTTGAAGCCTTGGCGGGCGCCTTTGTCTTCCCCTCGGCCTTTTTGTTCATCTTAAAGGAGCCAGAGGCGCCGGTGCCCTTGGTTTGAACGAGGGTACCTTTGTTCACCAAGCCGACGACGGCGATCTTGACGCGGTACCTGTTCTTGTCCACGTCGTAGCCGGAGGCGACCAGAGATTTCTTGAGGGAGGCCAGAGAGACGCCATTGCGCTCCTTGGACGCGGCCACGGCCTTGACGATAAGCTCGCTGATGCTGGGACCGACCCTCTTCTTCGCGGGCTTTGATGCCTTCTTCTTGGTCGTTTTTGCCGGGGTGGCCGGGGCTGGTGCTACTTCTGCCATGACGTCTGGGTATGAATGGACTGATGCGTTGGCCGCGTACATTGCTGCATTTAAATGCATCGTGAGAACCGTGGAGAGTCAATCAAGCAGTTTGCGCCACAGCGCGCCGACACCCTCTCCTCTACTTGTGTTTTCTCCGCACACTTCAAACGGCAAAAATTCACAATGAAAACACTTGCATCACTGAAAATTATTTCAGTGCATAGCACACGTGTTTATTTCCACATTGAAGGTGTTTAAAAGTCATGTGCCTCCTGCATTTGCTCTGCAGAGCTGCTAAACTTCACCTCCACACCGGCGTGAGCAGCGTTACTCAAGGAGATTCCTCACTCGTTTCTTCAATAAAATGATGTAAAGTAAAAAACGATTGGACAAAAAGTGTTTTACGTATTAAGTAACATGTTCATCCACGGACTCAACGTCTAAACAAGCGAGTATGGGTGATATTTTTTGGAAAAAGACAACCTTCTCCGAGGGCAGCAAACACAATTGAGGAGCAAGACCTGTGTCTTTTGTCATGGGACAACAACTCCTCGTGTCCTCAAACTGCAATATTATTTCCAAGTCTAGAAATGATTCTTATTATAGAGAACGTACACGCATACAGCAGCTAAAGTATTGACAATACAGAGTCGAGAAAGTCCAACTATATACAGTAACACTATATGTGGGAACGGTGCGAATGCTTTTACGCTAGCCTGGTTTATCGTTTGGGATCAGTCAGACACAGATTACAGTACATGACTGTATATCAGCTGATCATGATTTCATCATTTTTATATTTTGCCTTTGGTGACAGCCTGGCTACTATTGATGTTCACTTTAACCTAAAATTGCTTAAAAAAAGTAAAAGTTGTGCATCATACATTCAATATGTTCTTATCTCGATATCAACACATATTGATGAACTCCAAACAAAAGTATAGCATATTAAAACACAATTTTCACATCCGAGTCCAAATTTCCAAGATATCCACGTACACTGTAACGACACTACATGCCTATCAATTTATCTACTCTAGCATATAAAAGCAATTGGACAATTTGCTGTCTCTTGCCTCAACCTCAGCTACTTAAATTTTAACACACGCCCCAAAAAATGATAAAGAGCATCAGATGTGTTACCTACGGAAGCGCGGAGTTGCCAATTTGGAGTAACCAAAACAAAATAAACTGGCAAATGCGATCAAACATACTGGCGACTCCGTTCGAGTGTATTCAAACTGTCCCTTTTAAGAGATGAACAGAAATTAAATTCATGATGAATGAAAATAAGGCAATAGAGGAGTGAGTACTCGTTTGATGAGATGCGTGGCTCTTAAAAGAGCCGTTGGTTTATGGTGATGCAGCAGAGGGTTTACTTCGAGCTGGTATACTTGGTGACGGCCTTGGTGCCCTCAGACACGGCGTGTTTGGCCAGCTCACCGGGCAGAAGGAGACGCACTGCGGTCTGGATCTCCCTGGACGTGATGGTGGATCTCTTGTTGTAATGAGCCAGACGAGACGCCTCGGAGGCAATGCGCTCGAAGATGTCGTTGACGAATGAGTTCATGATGCTCATCGCCTTGGACGAAATGCCGGTATCGGGGTGCACTTGTTTTAGCACCTTGTACACGTAAATAGCATAGCTCTCCTTCCTGGTCCTCCTCTTCTTTTTGCCGGATTTGCTGACACTCTTGGCGACAGCTTTTTTGGAACCCTTCTTGGGCGCGGACTTTGCTGGCTCAGGCATAATTGCCAATCACGGTTAGAATGGTAGGAACAAGTACTGCCCCGAGGCCAAAGCCCGTGCCCTTATAGGGGCTCGCGCAGCAAGCGCTGTGCCAGCGCCGCTCTCTGATTGGTTGAAAACATCTCGGGTACTTAGCGCTTGAAGAACGCAAACAAAAGGACCCCCCAACGCTCCTTTGTTGCCCTGGTACCGGACCTGAGAGAGGACAGTCGGCGTAATTTGGCGGTTGGACCGTCACGTGACCGCCCTTCGATGTGGAATGACCAATACATTTGATGTACTTAATTTGTCGTAATTCTTTTAAGATTGCACGTGATCAAATCTCGTTTTAGTAGCGTGACAAATGTCACTAGTCTCTCCATTGTAAATAAATGTTTATTTTACGATTTCTCTTAATTAAACTCCACAAATGAAAAGGTCTGTGATTGGCTTCAACCAATTCAGGATTTACCCCACACAGCATAACCATTGTGTTTTGTTTGGAATTGATTTCTCATCTTTAAAATACTGTATTTAACAAAATATTCTTTCGGGGATGGTACAGCTGTGTGTGGACTGTTAGGATAGAAAAGCACGACATAGGTAAACCCCAATTTACCATTAAACTGTTCTGCTTTTTGCAAATCGTGACTCTTTGTCCTTTGACTAACAAGCAATGCTGAGTTGTGCAAAGGCGTTGTTTTTCGGCCCAATCAATCGTTGATCATAAGTTAATGATGACTTTCTTGCAAATCGTATATCTATTCAAAATTCATCCTTAACATGGGAGAGATGATTCTCTTTTAATGTATTGTTTACAGAAATGTCTCATTTAGTTGCAAGTGTGGTGGCTCTTAAAAGAGCCGTTGTGGTGTGACGGAGAACGTTTTAAGCTCTCTCTCCGCGAATACGACGGGCGAGCTGGATGTCTTTGGGCATGATGGTGACCCTCTTGGCGTGGATCGCGCACAAGTTGGTGTCCTCGAACAGACCGACCAAGTAAGCCTCGCTGGCTTCCTGCAGAGCCATGACGGCTGAGCTCTGGAAACGTAGATCGGTCTTGAAATCCTGAGCGATCTCCCTGACCAGACGCTGGAAAGGCAACTTGCGGATGAGCAGCTCGGTGGACTTCTGGTAGCGGCGGATCTCGCGGAGAGCCACCGTACCGGGCCTGTAACGGTGAGGCTTCTTGACGCCGCCGGTGGCTGGCGCACTCTTGCGAGCGGCCTTGGTGGCCAGCTGCTTCCTGGGGGCTTTGCCGCCGGTGGATTTGCGAGCTGTTTGCTTGGTTCTTGCCATTCTGGAACTTTTCTCTTTCGAAATAAAAGGAGCGAGGTGGAAGCCACGCGAGTGCCTTTTAAACGCTTGGCGCGACTGCTCACGGGTGACGCTCCCTCATCCCGATTGGTGCGGGGATTCTGCTGGAGGTCAGCCCCGCCTGTAAGAGTGACCTCCCGCCACAAGGCTCGCTGCCAATTGGGGGGAATTGTGTTCAAACTGGACCCCAAAATGCAAACCCCCCCCACTGCGCGCTGAAAATCTCTTCCCTGGTTGGTCTGACCCCCAGCCTGCCGCGCTTTCTGCAGCTATTAAAGCGGGACTTGTACCTCCCAAGCACACATTTTCCTTCGAGATTTCACTCCAGAAAGAAGAACCAAGATGAGCGGAAGAGGCAAAACCGGCGGCAAGGCCAGAGCAAAGGCCAAGACTCGTTCTTCCCGTGCCGGACTGCAGTTCCCTGTCGGACGTGTCCACAGGCTGCTGCGCAAAGGAAACTACGCTCAACGGGTGGGTGCCGGCGCCCCCGTCTACCTGGCGGCCGTGCTGGAGTACTTGACCGCTGAGATCCTGGAGTTGGCCGGCAACGCAGCCCGCGACAACAAGAAAACGAGAATCATCCCTCGTCACCTGCAGCTGGCCGTGCGCAACGACGAGGAACTCAACAAACTCCTGGGCGGAGTGACCATCGCTCAGGGCGGCGTGTTGCCCAACATCCAGGCCGTTCTTCTGCCCAAGAAGACCGAGAAACCAGCCAAGTCCAAGTAAAAAGGGACTCTGACTCTTCCACAACCCCAAAACGGCTCTTTTAAGAGCCACGCATTTTCTTCTTTAAGAGCTACCTTTTCAGTAATTGATTTTACTCGAATGTGTGTGTGTGTGTGTGTGTGTGTACGCGCATTGAAATTAATATCAATGATATAACATCCATTGATTCTGTGTTCCCGCTTATTTCCTTATCAATGCTATCAGTATTCTAAGATGTACAGAGTCAGGACAGAGCTAGAAAAATAGCTTATTTCCTTATCAATGCTATCAGTATTCTAAGAAGATGTACAGAGTCAGGACAGAGCTAGAAAAATTTTAACGCCAAGTGGCTATTTTTTCTATTACCAGTAGTTCTAATATTAGTTGGAGGAAAGGTGGGTTTTAAAAATTCTTTATTACAAACAAAATCAGTGAATCCCATTAAAAAATGCCCTGGAAACACAGTTTATTGATGTTGATAAGTGTTCCTTTTTGTAAAACTAGCCTGGAAGTCTATTTTTTTTCAATTGCACTCACTCTAAAGACAAGTATGTTTCTATAATTTATTTTCCATTATTTACTTTCACACATTTTTTATTACGGCCTTTCCGGTTGTTTTTGAATTTCTTCTGAGAGCCGCCACCACCTTGGACCTAGAAAACAAATGGTTTTGTGTCATTAATTAAATAAAAGATGGAATTAAGGTGCACATCTTAGTCATGTATAGAAAGAGTTGAGTGTTTGCAGTTCATGTGTGCCCATGAACTGTGCGCTAAAAACCCCCAAATATATTTTTTTGGGAGGTGGGGGTGAAAATGTGTCTGAGTGAGTCATTCTGCACTGTCAACCGACTGTTAGGGAACAGTGGCAACTGTAATTATCATTCCTCCACCGAGTTTCCCAGTCAATGACATAACCACAAAGCAGTTTGTGGTTGGCGATGTATTAATGCATCACAAAAATGCTTTCACTGTACTCAGCACGCACTCTTTTTGCCACGCTCAGAGCTCTGGTTTTGGGAGAAGAGCAGGAAGCAGAAGACCTAAATTCTGCAAACCTTTTTACGTTTCTGCATGGCTAGCGTGTCCACCTCCATCTCGTCCTCCTCATCCGTTTGGAAGTCATCCTCATCCTCAGACTGATGCGCCTCCATGGTCTCCTCGGCCGAGTTCTTCAAAGTGAGCATTGACGCTGTCACGGAAAACGGGTGTTAGCAGATGAAAATGTCTCAAGAGTCGCAGCACATGAGGGGCTGACAGGGGTAGAGGTCGCTCATATCGTCATCCGAGTCGCCGTGGTTTTCATCATCGCTGGAGGATGGTTCCAATGTGCCGGTGCCATGTTTGGAGTCCCTGCCCTGGTGGACATCTGTGCTCGTCTCCTTTGGCCTTTTCTGCTGGAGTCTGATTGGTACGAACTCGATGCCCTGCTTCACGCATTCCTCATCTTGGTCAGCAGATTAAAAACAACAAAATCAAGTCAGAAATGCCAAATCAATAACGAATCCAATGCTCGAAAAAAGAACTTTTGAAGACAATACTTTTTTGGAGGCGGGGGGGATTGTATTCAATGAAAACTGTTTTTAGACTCGTATAAGTAAAGAAGTTCATGCATGCAAATCAAAAGAGAAATAGTCGCTCGCTCACATTTGGAGAGAGCCTTCTTGAAGCGCGTGCCGTTGACGTGTTTTAAGACATGGTGTGGTTGTCTGTTCAGGTGTCTGAGGGTCAACTTACAGAAGAGCTGATTGCTGCACACATGACATAACGTGCATCATGAGATCAATTTGAATGAGTACTTGTGCCATAGCTATGGTAAGATATTGAGCAGCAGTGGCAAATTACTTGACTATCAGGAGTGAGTGTCCTTACGGTTGTTTTGAGCTTGACACTATGTGGGGTTCATACTGGCTGTAGTTAAATTGTGCTTGGGAGCTCAGCTTCTGATACTTTTTCCCTTTGGTGAACATCTGCAGCTCCTCCAGCTTGCATGGAAACTCATGGTCGTTCAGTGTGCACTTTATCTGAAATAACATTAAGCTATTATTTTCATTTCCCCACGTTCAGTCACCAAAACAAGCTCCAAATCAGCGGCTGTGGCTATATTAGCAACACATTAATGGTGTTCTCCGTGATGTGCTCGCTCACCTTTTGGCTGTCAGTCAACTCGAAAAAAGGGTGGTTGAGCAGGAAAGCCTTCACGTCCGCAGGTAAGTCCTCCATAGCTGTAAAACGTCCTCAAACTAAAAAGCGTCTAATATTTTGAGGCTCGTTGCATGTAGCATCCAGCCCACACGCGTGCCCGTCGCGTCGTTTCTGACGTAATAAAAGAGCGACATTGAATGATTACATTCTTATTCTTCTTGTTTTGTGAAAGCTCATTGCAATGGAAAAGAAAAACGACGAAGCCCTGAACAGCACAAACATGTAGAAATTATAACCGCACAAAACGGTTTACTTATTTAGTTTCATTTTTATTCATCACTTTTTTTATGTGAGGGGTAATCGTCTTCCTTGCTTCATAATCTTTGTGAGCACAATAAGAACCGCCCACAATCCTCCCATAATCCCCTTCGTTACGCTGTAAATAAATACACACTGTACTGACGTCACGTCGAACATAGCTGTTCGTCGATCACTAGTCGTCTACGAGTGAGGTAAAGTGTCGAAGTTAGCTAGTCTACAACAGTTTTATTCGTCTTTTTTTCTGGGCTTATTCATTACAACGTCTACTCGTCGATAGGTTAACGAATAGTCGTTCCGTCGAAACGTGGGATTAAACTAAGATAGCTAGCAGGTCATCGTAATACATTCTTACAATGTCTGGACCAAATGGAGATCCTGACGTCTCCATTGATGATGGCATCATCGAGGACGGCGACGAATTAAATGACGAAGGTAACAGACATTTTAGTTTTTTTTTCTCCCAATCACCTAAGTGCGAGTGGCGACGCGTTCTGTCATTTCTCGCTTTAATGTTGCCGTGTTTTGTCCAACAATTTCCTTATTTGATGACACTGTATTTATTCATGTATATCATCCAGTAATTCCATTCATGCAAAAATCATTTCCAGGATTAAACTGTCCCCACTCCTCTTGAGCAGGTGTAAACTAATATAATTTAACATTCTTACTCCACAGAGTTTGCAGCAATCAACTCCATGCTGGACCAGATCAACTCGTACCTCGATGGCCTGGAGGAGAAAAACGACGCCCTCAACAGTAAAATGCACGAACTCCTTGAATCCAATCGGCAAGCCCGGTTGGAGTTCAGAGCCCAGCTGGAAGAGCAGCAGCCTGGGGACGATCGCTCCTCTTGGCAAGGCACAGACGAGGACCATGATAAAGACACAAGAGATACTTGTATCTGAACAGTGACACCAGTCAGTGTTATTGTCAGAAGAATCATTCCCAAAGCAAGAGACTTTTAGGAGTCTAATTGAAATGTCACAGAAAATTCTATCGATATGGTCACTCGTTCGCGATACTCCCCTTATATGTGACACCTCGTAATAAAACCCAGGCCACCTTCCCGTCTTGCTTGCAAACCTTGTCTGTAATTGATATAAATGTGGCAGATTTAAACGATAAAGTTTACTCTTCTCTCTTCATGCTGTCTATAAAAGTACAGGAACATACCACTGCAGGGAATTGTTGGGGCATTTTAATATAAATTAAAATGTCGTCCAAAAAATACATTTGAACTTTCAAGCATTTTAGAAAACATCATGTCTTGATTTCAGTTTTGTCAGTAGCAGAATAAAAATACAGTCTTGAGGAACAATGATTTGTTTTGAAATCGCATCATTCAGAGCTACAATACACAGTTTGAAGATCCTGACCAAAAAAAAGACAAAAGAAAATGGGGTAGGTAGGGGGGGTGCTAATCATGTGCTCGGTCACCATGGTCATGTCAAGTTTTGCGTCACGTGAGCAAGACTTAGTGGCTCCAAATAACCACAAATGAGGATGAAATGTTTCTGGAAGAGGAAGTGATGCGTTAAAAACTTCAGAGCAGAGTGCTACAAAAAAATGAAGCCAGAATAAACACAATGTGTTTGCTTGAAGAATCCGTGTGAAGCCTTTTTTTTTTTTGGTCCACCAATTACCAACATCACTCAAAATGTCCACAAGAACGCGACACCAAAATGCCATGAACAAACACCGATGGTCCAACATGACTGAAAACACCTGCCTTGACGGACAAGTTTCAAATGACAAAGATGTCTTGTCTGTTTTATGGCAAATACAGCTTTTGCTTTTTTCGTGAGAGGCTGGCTTCACAGTCTTACATTTGTGTTGTCACCCACACTTCAAAGAATGCTCTCAATCTCTCTTTGACTTCTCTGAGACGAAGTATTTCCGCTTTAAAATATACTGGAACCTCCAAAGTGGAATAAATGCATTTTGGTGACACTTTTTTTTTCTTCTCAAAGTTGCATTCATTTTAAGGATGTTACCAAATTGTGTCTGCGTCAGGATGCACTGTTGAAGGCCACGCTTCCCCCTGGAGGAAAATTTTCCACTTCCCTGGGTGACACTCGGCAACCTTGCAGCCACCAGGCGAGGCACTCTGTGAGGGACTGAGCATTGCAGTACAGAATGGGGCTGTTCCTCGGCTGGTTCCCAACGTACGCAACACACAGATTTAAAAATAAATAAATACAGGTACACCCCCTCCATGGTGACAACACACCAGAGGGGACTGAGATCAACGTGTGCGTGTGTACGTGTGGCTGTATCGTTTCAAACCCAGAAATGTATTTGCCCCATGTGTGAAAGACGGTTGATTCCCAAACTAAACTGAGGGTCTTTTATTCTTCAGCTCCTCTCAGAGTGGCCACTGATTCAAAGTTTTGGACACTGCTGTCGCCATCAGTCATTTTTCCTGAGTTGAGTGAGGGTGTAGCAATGACGAAGTGGTCATGTTGCATAAATGAGTCACGATGCTACGTCGCCGCGGCGCCAAATTCAAATCCGTTCATTTCCGCGGGCTAACAACAGCGCACACATTTCAACTTGAAAGCATGTCAGATTCATTTTGACAGTGGGGGGAGTAAATTATGAGGATAGGGCAAGAGACCACCGTTGAGCTTTGCAATTATTTTGGTAATTAGGGACTCAAAATTACGGAGCTGATGTCTCATTTGATTTTCTGATGTCACACGAGATGATGATTTGGCGCTTTGGTTGAACTACAAATTGTAAAGGGGGGCTGACGTTCCATATTGATAAACACTTAACTGCACATGTTCAGATCAATTTGAGGAACACCGCCTTAAAAATAAGTATGTCACTAATATATGTTCACAATTTTGTCTCATTGGGTTTGAGCTAATTTGTCTCACCTTGTCATAGTTCAACCCACCTTTCAGGTCATGTGTTCCGCCATCGAAATTGGAACCTATTGGAGAATTAAAGAAAAAAAAAAAGTCTCTCATCCATCCTTCAATGTCTGTTAGTGGCCCTCCCAGACCGGCGTCTGGTGCTTGGCTTCAGTGGAGCATTTTCGTCTTCTTCTTTTTCTTTGTTGTTGTCGTCAGTGGAGGCTGGCAAATCTGAGGTGTCAGCGGGAAGCTCTGATGGAGCTTTCGACGCTTGACAAGTGCGAGGCTCCTCCACTTTGTCCTGGAGCTGGTTTTCTGTCCCGAACGTACTGCTGAGTCTTGAAACTGACCCTGCGGTACTGGAGGGGCAAATGTCTTCCAGAGAATCTGTGGGCGTTCCTGTTAAAGACCTGCGGTTGTCGTCGTCAGCGTTGGCGCACTTTCCGCCAAGTGATTCTTTGTGTCTCTGAAGACGGACGGCACAAAAGACAAAATGTAAATTTTCGCAACATCTTAACATGTCAAAAAGCCACAAGGATCAATAATTACGTTCGACCCTATGACCAGTTTAATTGACGCAGAAGAAATTCCAAAGGATTTGCTCCCACCAAAACAACTAAAGTTATCAACCAAGTGACATTCCCCCCACTCATTAAAGGGTGTCCTCAACTGATGTGCTCCAAAGAAAGACCACAGAGGTGTTAAAGTACCCAAAGATGACTGCTAATATATCTTACCTTGAGGTTGTCAAAGTGCTTGACGGAGTTGCAGTGTGTGTGTAAAGCCGACGAGTCAAAATGGTAGAACTTGTTGCAGAGTCGGCAGATGAAACCAGCCACTGGCACAAAGAAGCTGGACCCTGTGGAAGGAAAAACAAACAAACGTTGCGCACTTTTTTCCCCCACCATTTAAAACGGCTTCCACGCAACTTAATAACATGCCTGTTTGATGATGTTGGTCAAAAATACTCCAAAGAATTACATCACACCTTTCAGCCGGTTTTCAAGCCTGACTGCCTGTTTTAAAGGGGCGGTCGTGTCAAGGTGATGTCTTGTCATTTACGTGTGTGACAAATCAATTGTCTCTGCGGCTGTCGGTAAGAAAAAAAAAAAGTGCACCAAACAAGAACCCCTGGCACTTATTTGAGAACCACACCAACAATCAGTCATCCCTTGAGTTTAGCTAGCCCATGGAACCTTCTCGATGCACATTAAAACAATTAAGATGCTTCTTAATTCGGTTGTGTGAGAGCAATTTACGGGTCACTTTCGAAGTGTCAAGGAGCGAAGGGCTGATAAGGTTCCATTTGAGGAAAAACTAGATCTGACCATAGAGTACGCAATGAACTTAACATTTTGTTTGAGTCAAATTAGACGAGAGGAGCGAATCGCGGCTCACCGTAGATGGTGTCGGGGTCATACTGCTCGTCACTCGTCATGTCCTTCAGAGTCACCTCTCTACATGAGCTCCATCCATCCTGCCACATAACGTCAATGCAAAGTTTACAGGAATTGATTTGAAATATTCATCATGAACAGTGAAAAAAAAAAAAAAAGTACCAGGTTCTCAAGAAAGTCTTCATCCGAGTCGAGCCTGTCATCCTCCTGCACCTTCTCTTCCTCAATCTCAAAGCCATCTATGTCCGGCAGCTTGGATAAAGTGTCAGAGCTCTCCTTTTCCTGAAGCTGGCGACAAACATTATATAAATTAGTTTGAAATTTTTATCCTAAAAAAAAAAAAAAAAAAAAATGCACCCCCCTCAAAGAAAAAAATAAATAAAAAATATATGAATGGACTAAATCAATTCATCATGCAGGCATCGCGAGAGTCTTTCCTATGGAATACCCTTGCATACTTTAATTAATCTTTGCCGGTGCTCCTGGGACTGCAAGTGTGCCACAAACAGCTTGGAGCTCCTGAAGTGCTTCTTGCAGAGGCCGCAGGACGACACAGCAGCTCTGCACGCACGCTGAAGACAGAAGGATAGGAGTCACTTGAAGAATAATTCATCTATTTATTCAAATGATGTTTTCAATGTGTTTCGATGAGGACTGGGTACTGAACTAAAAACATCAAGCACATTTGGAATGTGAAGCATTTTGTCAACCCGTTGTAAAATTACTCCCCAAAAAATTATGCCAGTTCACGCCACTAAACGGAAGCTCAAAGAAGCGGTCCTAAGGCCACAGTCTTACTAAGGCTTCTGGCAATCATCTGAAGCTCCAGAAGAAAGTTATAACACTCCAGGAGAAGATAATCATTAATCCTTGGATTTTTATTCAAGGCCTTTCCTCGTTTCATGATCAAAACCAACAGGAAAAGTTACTTTGTGCTCCTCTGTGTGTCGATGGTCCGCAATGCTGGTGGAGTAATGAGCGCAACATGTTGCGCACCAACGCTGCGTGTCAGCTTTTTTGTCTCTTTTGTGGGGGTGGGGAAAAAAGGCAGAAATTAGAGTATGCAAGACTCCCGAGACACAAATGAGCTTGTGTATATGTACCCATCTTTACTGGCCCCCTGCAGAGTCTCATGCAGCCGTGGCAGCAATGTGACCAGGCACGCGTTGCTCATGTGCTGAATCTCCATCATCCTCTGCTGGTGGGAAACACTGTTCATATGACTGCGGAAGTTCTAAAAAAAATTTTTAAAAAATGCACACGCACACAAAGAGATAGTTAAAGAAAGGCTAAAAGGTGAGCGAGTATTTATGACCTGATGTTTGACCTACTTCCTGACTGTGGCAAGTGATGGTGCAGAGGTAGCAGTAGAACTTGTTGGCCCCTTCTGCAGCATTGCCCTCCACCCGTTTGTTTGGTAGCTCATCATCCTCCAACACAGCAGCATGGCTCTCCTCAACTCCTGGACCCAGAGTAGAGTCGTCTTCTTGTAGGAGGAGGCAGTCTACGAACAGAAAGATAAATGTGACTTTGAAAAAGTATTTGATTTCATCCATGTGGTTTCAGTTAGTGCAGGGGTGTAATTTACCACCCATCTGGCTGTCTTCTGTGTTGCACTCTGTGTCGCCATCTGAATCGGCAGTAGGGAGAGCAGGATCCTCTTTAGGCTCCTCAGATCTGATTGAGCAGAAATGAGAAAAAAAAAAAAGTTGGAACTGCATTTAGAAAAAGTTGATACGAAAAAAAACGTCTGTTTTCCCGAAGTCCCGCAAAATGGAGGCATTTGGTCGCGACTATGTGCCCTTTCATTGTGCCGTCATCCTGTATTGTGTGACAATATCAACGGCAGTGTCTATAATCCCCGAGAGTTTTAAAAAGAATTTTTTTTTCGTATAATAAAATTGATTTTATTCACCAAAAAATGTTGACTTCATTTCGGTAAAATTACAAGGGTTTTTTCCACCCCCCCAGAAATTCATCACAGAAACGAGTGTCAAGATGTTCCTAAGCATACTTTGGGTCAGAATTTTACAATACCGCAATTACAATTTTTGTCCCACCCTTCCATCTTCTGCCTCTTCACCGTCGGTTCTTCAACCTGTTCCTCAGAGGACTGAGCAGATCCATCCACCCATTCCACAACGCCATCTGTCGATTACAGTAAAAGTAAATAGAAACAACGACTCAAAAGTGTTTTATCAAGATTTCTGTCGTTATAAAAGATAGTGATGTGCCGTTTTCAGAGAGGTGTTCATTAAACAATGTTTCTTATCATGGTTGTTATTCATGCATGACGCTCGCATTTTATGGGCAACAAGAACACATTTTCCTTTCACAACGAGCAATACATCCTGAATTAGATATCTACCTGTTTCAGTATCCCTGGCCTTGCTTACTGCTGCAATGTCAGCGGTACACCCGTCTGCTGTCTGCTGGCTGTCATTCTTCTTGTCCAGCTGGGGGAACAACAGCATACCACAAAGAAAAAATTAAGACGCGTTTATTTCACAATCGACAATTTTTATGAAGGCTGATGCTGTTATTACTGTTGTGGTGGTGGTAACAGAGGAGGCGGCGGTGGCCGCGCTCGTCGCAGTGGCTGCACTTGCGGTAATGGTGGCATTATTGTATAAGCGAGGGTGAGGGTGGAAGGCCCGAGCTGCAGCGGGGAAGCCCATGTGGTGGGACTTCATTGCCATACCAATTGGAACCGGCCCCAGTAGAGACCTGTTCGCCGCTGTGAAGAAATGACGGAACTGCTGTCCGGCCATCCCAAAGCCCCGCATGTTACCTAAGAGAATACAACACGATACGTGACATACAACATATGTATACGTTTAAGTGTAGGTGCTGTTGTTGTTTTTTCCTTAAATCTTCACCTTGCATTTGCTGCATCATTAAGGCTCCATGTAGCATGGGATTGGGGCTGATAATCGTGGTCTGGGTCGCCTGGCACAGGTTGACCATTCTGGGTGGAGGAGGCGTTGTATGTGGAGGCACAGGAATGGCTCTGGCAACAATAACAACAACAGTTAATTTCCATGACATGGAACTCATAAAATTCTAATTTTATTCTCAAAATTATTTCCCTTCATTGTATGACTTTGGTAAAAGTATTTCTCCTTCATCTGACTGTACAGTATTCTCAGTGACTACTTCCTTATATTTGGACTATTTTCATGTATGTTGCTCGAAGATTATCTCAACTCTATTTTATTCACAGAGCACTTTAAAAATATACAATATATATTTTCGTATAACACACATACAAATTTAAGCTTTGCTTTAGTGACCTAAAGTTCAGGCAACCACTTCACCCGAAGGCCTCATGCAAAGCCCCGGGGTCGCGTCGAAAGGCTCACCGCGATGCCTGGTGATGGTGATGGCCGACATGGTGAGCCGGAGTGGGCTGTGGCGGTGGAGGCGGCGGGGGCGGTGGAGGCGGCGGGGGTGGCTGCTGATGGAAAAGTTGTTGGAGCTGCCGCAGGTGCTGGTGGAACTGCTGCTGCTGTTGTTGTTGTTGGTGGGAGTGGGGGTTGAACATAACGAGCTCTCTTTGCCTTCCTTTTCGCCAAAAGCGTGTGGTCGTCAGAGCTTTTGAAAGGAAAAAGAGGCTTCATGCTAACTGGGCAACTTTCAATGACAGCCGCCGCGGGGACACAACAGGTCGCTTTCATAGGTCGCGATGACAACTAGCTAACGTTAGCAAGCGAGCTAATCACAAAGCGCTAAGTTGGATTTCCTTTACAACCTTAAGCTACGAAACAAAGGGCCTCTAACAAAAAGAGCAGACACACTCTCAATAAAAATGTAATGAAATGGCGACAAGGTAAAGAACGAACTAGAATAGCGCCGCTACTCGACAAAAAAAAAACAACAAAGCTAACATTGGACGTCGGTCAATGGCCGAATACAGTCAGTTAGCTTAGTCTAGCGTATAAACCGGCTACGCGCATGGTTCTACTCCTATATTTTGAAACTCTTCGATACGTCGTCACCACTTACCTCCCAAAAGCGACTCAATGCGACGGTGACTGTTAATTGTATCATCCAAAAGAGAATAGTACCGTCAATGCGACCTGAACACGGCTGCAACACACTGAACTACAAGAGTGTTCTCTGGCTCGGCGATGACTGCAATTTACCACCCTCTAGCGGTCGCCTCCAAAACGGAAATTTCCCCAGTCGCCCATTTGTGACATACTACTGTACTGTATTTTGCCATTTGGCCTCAAAAATATATTTTCACTTGGCCAATCGGTGTGAAGGGAACCATAAGATACTATATAAACTGATCCAACACGTTTTGCTTTATTTTAAATGCTAACAATAGGAAGGTATTCGTGTCGATGTAACTCGCAGTTCAGCACCATGGACAGATCTGTACAGATTTGTAAGGAAATTCTGCCATGACCAGAGTTGAACTGCAAGAATCCACAAATCCTTCAACATTTGCATTCTTCTGTCCTGTGCCTTGTCTTCCCATCGCCGTTTCAAGTCTTCTGTTATCGCCGCCGATCTTGGCATTAAAGTCACCTACAACCACGATGATTTTCTTGGTGGTCATTTTTGGGCAGTTACCTGAAAATTCTGGTGGGAAGCCGATTGGCCGTGTGAGTCATACGAAATAGTGACGTCACAGAAAAGTAAAACCATGATTGGTCAAATGACCATGTGATCGACACAAATGTATACGTAATTTAAAGTCCCGTAAAGATGTGAACATGATATGGAATCTTAATTATTGGATAATTAATCTTAGCTGTTTTGAACAATATGAAACGCAAGTGGAACCCAAGTTATGAGGCAAAAACATTTTTTCCATCATATTCCTTTATGTGAGAATTTTTATTACCTTCGGCAAGTGTAATTTCACTTCAAGCCCCAATCAGGGTCGAATCCAGCAGGTATGTGAGAATTTTTATTACCTTCGGCAAGTGTAATTCCGTCTTTCAAGCGAGGAGGAAAATAATGCATGAAGAAAATTGACTCGACTCTAACCTGTGAACCTCGAATTATTACGTTAGGGCGTGGTTTCAATTTCAAATAAACCCCAATCAGGGTCGAATCCAGCAGGTAAAAACGTATCAGCGTTACAGCTTACTTAGACTACACAGGCTACTTTAATGTGTTAATCCAACATTGTCCCCGAAGTTTGAAGACTGGCCTATTTGTAGAGTGCAAAATAAATTATTTAAATGTGTTTATCAATTTAGGGTCCACCCTACATTAAAAAAAAAACAATCAAATACGTGATTTCGGTCAACAAACGAGTGCTGCTGTGTTGCATTCAAGCTGTTTAAAGGCTGAAGTGGAATCATTCGTCTCACTGCAAAGCAAAGCTTTAAGCAGAGCAGTGTTGCCACCAAGCGGCGACTGTTATGAAGTGCATGCAGGGAGTTTTCCAGGGGAAACACAAGTCGAGCTCATCCTCGTCCTCATCCTCCCGCCCTCCTGCGGTGCTCGGTGGTGGAGAAGCGCATCGGGGACGGAGAACGCAACGCGGGGCTCGCTCGCAGCTCAGAACACAATTAAACGGGGGGGAAATCACGCTCAATACTTCCGTCGAGGACTATCCACCCGGCCGCAATGGGGAACCGGGGCATGGAGGATCTGATCCCCATGGTGAACCGCATGCAGGATGCCTTCTCCGCCATCGGCCAGAACGCCAACCTCGACCTGCCTCAGATCGCCGTGGTGGGCGGGCAGAGTGCGGGGAAGAGCTCGGTGTTGGAGAACTTCGTGGGCAAGTAAGCAGATTTCAAGCATTTACTCCATTTAACGCACCGTGCTGTAGTCCCCATGCCCCTCCTCCTCCGACTCCTCTTTCTCTCTACTCCATTTAAAGTGCTGCCACATCATTTATAAACACGTATTACCTCTGCATCCAGTACATATATCAGCATGTATTGTATTGTATTGTACACCAAGGGGATTATTATTTTGTAAAGTCTTGCCTAAATCCCTTGTGGCGTTCATGCCTCAGCTCACCTGCTGCAGGGTGCGTTCACAGAACATCACAGCCTGATAGAACCTGTCAGGGCGGTGTCGAGACCCGTGGTGCAAGCGAAGGCAAGTGGGCTCTATACGGCCCACCAGAACGGTTAATCTGGCCACAGTCGCTCATAATCAGCGGTTTCAATTTAAGCTACAACCGCGCTTGTGTCGTCTTTGCGGCAAGGCTACCATTTTGTTCTCCCCGTGCCATTTATTCATGACTAAGCAGAGTTGCATGTGTCAGTCGTGCACATAGATTCGCCTTGCAATGATTACAATGATGAAAAACCAGAGCGGGTTAGCCAGCGCTGATGTTTTATGCTGCATGATGACCTTGTAGCCATAGAGAAGAAATAGAGGGAGGAAGGGGGAGAGAGAGAGAGAGAGAGAGAGGGAAAGAGCGAGTCCACCTGAGCTTTGAGCCCTTCCGGCTCAGCCCTTCCATCTGGTTTATGAGCGAAGCTTAACCAGCAGCGCTCAGGCAACAACAACACAGCACCTTTATTGAAGGACATGCGTACATGTGTGCTGCGTGCGTTGTGAATACGTGACTGCATTCACTGCTGAAAGCAAGGGTCAGACTTCGTGTGCGATGCTTTAGCTTCAAGCTAGTGCAACGGCACCAACATTCAAAATGAATTTCATTTAACACGCACAAATGGATCCCCTCAAGCAGATCATTTTTAATTCTAACTGATTTACAGCGCGGTTAAATATGTCATTAGGTACCAACATGCCCTCCGTGTTGCCTCAGTGGGCATTGGTTTGGCAGCAGATTCCCACTGTGCACAACCACGTGGCCACAAGCGCTAATCCTCAATTTGGCCGGTAGAATCGGTGATACTGTTTACATCATCATGCTGCCTTGTGGGAAGGTCTGTGTTTAATTTGTAAGTACGACGACAAAATAAAAAACTTGTAGAGATCATTTGCAAAGTATTTAGCAGACAATCAATTCAGATTTGATTGAAGTGGAGACTTCAAGCTTTCATTGAAGAGAGTTCATTAAAAATGGAGGTACTACAGAACACTGCAATTTTTATAATACAGCAGCGCCTCCATTTTCAGGCCTGGAAACTATTTGGGCTGCAGATGAAACAATTTGTATCACCAAATTGAAAAGAGAAGAGTTCGTGATCCAACACCAAAAGAACAGAGCTCATGATGCAAAGCCAGGGCGGACCCCGCCCCTCACCAAAAGTGGGCCGAGGTAGGCTCCAGCTCATTCATGACCCTCACGAGGAAAAGCTCCGCTGAAAATGGATGGATGGATGAAGCTCAACATCTGAGTCACAATCTGATTGCTGATTGCCGGCATAAAAACGACAAAACCTTGTGGGCCCTGAGCGTACATGTGATCGTTGTGTCCGTTTCATCATTGTGCGGCACTTTCCTCTGTAGTCATGGCAACAGCTTCTGCCTAATTATGGCGCCAGTACCCAGGGGAGCTGCGATCACGCTGAGAGTTGAAGAGGAAAAATGTGAAACATTATTACTCGCCCATGCCAAGATTCCGAGTGTGTGTGCGTGTGCGTGTGTGTGTGTGTGTGTGTGTGCGTGTGTGCTGTCAGAATGACATTGTGTGTCCTCTCATCCTTCCGGCTTGACACCCCACCCCTTCTCCCCGGTGGCTCATTGTGGTGCATCGGATGTATGTTGTCAGTTTAAAACACAGTTGTTGCCTCGGTGTTTCATCACAAAGCCGTTTTATTCCTCACAGATGCAACTGCAACGTGAAGCGTTTTGGCAGTAAGGGGACACTCGGTTTGTTGGTTTTATTTTGGCTCCTGTCCGGACAAAGGCTTTTAACCCTCAATGCTGCGGCTTCCAGTCAAGCGCGATCAATAAGGCAAGCATAGGCGATAATGCGCAATAATGGCAGGGAGACGTCTCTGTTCGCAGGCAAGACAAAACATTTGATCCACCTGCACTTTTTCCGTGTCCAGTACAAGAGCTGTATCATAAATGTCTGCCCTTAATTATCAGTTTTGATTGGCGATAGCGTCAGAGGGGAAACCCATCCATCCATTTTCCGAACCGCTAAACCTCACAAGGGTCCATCCATTGTTTTAAATTGCACCGTCTTTTCTAAATCTGTCAACCAAAATGTTCGAAACACTCTCCGCTCCAATCGCAGCGCGTCAGGAATTCATTTGTACCGACGCCGAGCATTGTTACTGATCAATGAGAGTGACGCATTTTACGATACGTCTCCTGTATTCAATCTGTTCATGAGACCGGCGCAGTTGTTCCACTACGTGCCATAATTGAACCATCTCATCATTCAAATCGAATCTCTTAAAACGACGCGGAGAATAAACACAACGGGTTCAATTTGTCAGCAAATATTACAAAATGGAGTCAGCCCAATCACGTTTGTTCATGGCTTCTGTCTGCCGTTATTGATGCTTGCAAGAGACCTCACGTGGTAACTCACATTAATGACGTAGCCCGCCATCACTATTCCACCCCCGCCGCCCCCCCAACCTCAGAGATTACGTCTATGCAACGTAGCCTTAGCGTTCACATATTATGTAACGTAGCAAATGATCGCCCGAGGCATTATGACAAATGTAGCAGCTTCACTCCATTCTTCGCTCATTTTATTCGGCTCAAATAACCCATCAAGGGGAAGCGAGTGACCTTTGCGATAGAGAAGGATTGACTCGATTTCGTTCAAGTGGTTCATCGGTAGTAGATGATGGATTAAAGCTCCAGTCTGAACATTTTTACATTGATGTTGCTGTTTTCAAGTCTCAAATGGTGAAATCTAAAAACGTGGAGGAAAGTGTGCGACAGAGTGTGGGACAGAGGAGGAAAGCTACAGAGGATTAACGCTAATCTCGCTCCCTATCTTCCCTCGTGGGCTCAGCGTTGTAATCTGCGTATCCACCGTAGGGGCAACCTGCCTTTTCAGCGGCTTCGCATGCAGGAGTTCGGAGGCTTTGAAGCGCCTGCGATTTGCCAGTCACATCAATGCCAACGCATTGGCGACACCTGCACAATATTCAACAGGGTCTGAAGAAAAACGTTGCCTTTCGCAATCCCTAAATGCTTTGATGTGCTTTTACTCTGCCTACATTTACTCTTAAAGTGCAAAGACGTGACAAGTAGGCTATCCCAAGATGCCTTGTGTCACATCTACAAACATTCCAAAAGGGTCCGACAGCCTCAAGCCTGTTCTTAAAGAGCCTTCTTACAAGGCACAAAGAGTTTGTCTTGCAGTTTAACTGAGAGGACGGGTGAAGGAGAAGACCTGCACTTTAAACCGTCTGTTCTCCGTTAAAAGCCTTCCAAGCGGGAAGAGTGCTCGAAAAAATGTACTTCATTTGAATGGCTCCTGGCATATTCATCTGCAGCCAGTATGCGCAGACTGGCCAAGACATTAAGAACACGTGCAAATCTTAATGAGCTCCAAGACGAGAAGTCGATGGATGTTAGTGGCGGGGAGCGGGAGGGGGGAGGGTTGGGGTCCGACACATGTAATGATGCTGCACGTCAGTGAATTTGAATTGCCGCGTTCGCTGCTGGAAGTACACACACTCACATGCAGTTTGTGTTGCTGTTACATAATAGATGAAACCCTGCAGGAACACTGCAGTGCATTCACTAAAGTCACTTTTACCGGCACTCTTTACAAGCCTACATTGTTTTTGCATCATGACAAAATCAACATACCGTTTCGGTTTGGAATCTGCTCCAAAATGGACTTGTTCAAATATGTCAAAGAAATAACGTGAAAGTTGTAGATCACCATCTCACGTAGCATTGTTGTGTTCTAGGGATTTCCTTCCACGTGGCTCCGGCATCGTGACCCGTCGTCCTTTAGTTCTGCAGCTGATGAACTCTCCTACAGGTGAGAATAAATGCCATAGTGTCATATTAAAACTTTTAATAGGTATGGGGAAAAAAAAAAGACAAACCAAGCATAGATATTTAAAGAATGAATTCATCCCGATGACAGTGACAAATCAAGAGAAATGTGACTCCGTCGTAAGTAACAAAGCTCAGGATTAGCCAGGCTTGTTGTGCGATCGATTCATGGTAGCAAAATTGCAATAAGAAATCAAACAGGATGTCATTCTTTCGACGTGCCCCCTTCCGTGCGTGTTTCAGAGTACGCCGAGTTCCTCCACTGTAAGGGCAAAAAGTTTACGGACTTTGACGAGGTCCGTCAGGAGATCGAGGCTGAGACTGACCGGATGACAGGCGCCAACAAGGGCATCTCGCCCATTCCCATCAACCTGCGAGTGTATTCCCCTCACGGTGGGGCCCTCGATTTTCGACGGGAACTCATGCGGCGCTAGTCGAATATTTCGTTGAAACGTTTTCACCTTATCCTCCGGCAGTTCTCAACCTGACGCTGGTTGACCTGCCCGGCATGACCAAAGTGCCCGTGGGCGACCAGCCAGCCGACATCGAGACTCAGATCCGGGACATGCTGCAGCAGTTTGTCACCAAGGACAACTGCCTGATGCTCGCCGTTTCGCCGGCCAACTCGGATCTGGCCAACTCGGACGCTTTAAAGATTGCCAAAGAGGTTGACCCGCAGGGTAGGTTGCTTGATCACACACACAAAACTGCTTTTCATCCCTTCATTGGTCCATCCAATTTCTGGAGCGCTTGTCCTTACTCGGATGGTGGGTAACTGGAGCCTATCCTGGCTGACTGTGTGTGTTTGTGTGTGTGTGTGTGTGTGTGTGTGTGTGTGTGTGTGTGTGTGTGTGTGTGTGTGTGTGTCTAGGTATGAGGACCATCGGCGTTATTACCAAACTGGACCTCATGGATGAGGGCACGGATGCTAAGGACATCCTGGAGAATAAGCTGCTTCCACTCAGACGAGGTAGACACACACACACACACACACACACACACACACACACACACACACACACACACACACACACACACACACACACACACACACACACACACACACACACACACACAATTTTTCAGGACCTGTGACCCACTGATTCCCTCTTGTGGTGGCAAGAAAGTTCAGCACAAGCTTTCCAACCTCCGCAGGAGCCCTAAAAAGAAGTTAGATGAAAAAAGGAAACAGATAAAAAAAAAAAAAGGGGGGGGCGTGGAAATAAAATTGCGGTCTTGCAGTCTGCTGATGCTGTACTTTTCTTTTCCGCTTGCACTTTGGTTTGAACCCGCACATTTAATATTTTCCATAGTCGGTGTTATTTCTCTGTCTACCGCCACCTCCCCTTTCCCCTCGTGTGTCTGTCTGCTCGAGTTTACAAGGCCGCCGGCTGCATTAGTCGCAAAGCGCAAAGTCGCTTTTAACGGGGAAATGCATGAGGAATGTCAAGCGGAAGTGAAACAAGATCTGCCTGACTTGAACTCACCTGGCTGCTCTTCTAAAAATCTTTGGCAGCCACACGTTCGTCCACCTGTGATTTTATTTTATATTTTCGACTCATATAAATCACCTCCTTCATTCCTCATGGATTTGTGAAAGCCTTGAAACGGTTTGGAAGAAAAAAAAAAAAAACAACGTCTGGCCTGGCCGTCGCATCGGCAGCCTCTGCGAAGCCTCGAAGGAGAATTATTCTCGTCTGTTCTGTCAAGGGTACATTGGTGTGGTCAACCGGAGCCAAAAGGACATCGACGGAAAGAAAGATATCACCGCCGCCTTGGGTGCCGAGAGGAAGTTCTTTCTCTCCCACCCTGCCTACAGGCACCTGGCCGACCGCATGGGCACGGCCTACCTGCAGAAAATCCTAAACCAGGTCGGTCAAGGAGCAGAACACCTGACACGTCTTCAGGGTACCCTCCCATCCTAACTTTTAAACCGCGCAGCAACTCACCAACCACATCCGGGACACGCTGCCGGCTCTGCGGGCCAAGCTGCAAAGCCAGCTCCTCTCCATCGAGAAGGAGGTGGAAGAGTACAAGAACTTCAGGCCCGACGATCCGTCCCGCAAGACCAAGGCTCTGCTTCAGTGAGTCATCACGGGTTCAACTGTGAACAACAAAAGAAGAAAAAAAAAATCGTGATTACACAATAAACAGGAATGAATTATGTGCCGTAATATTCCCCTCCCTGGTCAGGGGAATGGTTCCATTGTGCCTCAGTTGGCATAAAGACAACATTAATTCCTTGGTCGACATTTTTATCCGATCTGCATATTTGTAGCGGTCATTTTTTGAGACAAATGTGTGACAAGACTGCAATGTGCGCGTGCAGGATGGTGCAGCAGTTTTCTGTGGACTTTGAGAAGTGCATCGAGGGCTCTGGGGACCAGATCGACACAGCCGAGCTATCCGGCGGCGCCAAGATCAACCGCATCTTCCATGAGCGCTTCCCCTTCGAGCTGGTCAAGGTTTGTCTGATTTTCAATTCGTTTTTGCGACCACGTCAAAGACCCGAAGCCCGACGACGCGGTGCGGCCTCCCTCTCAGATGGAGTTTGACGAGAAGGAGCTCCGCAAGGAGATCAGCTACGCCATCAAGAACATCCACGGCATCAGGCACGTTCGTCCTTCCGTTCACCTTTACGTCATATGAGCAGCGCACCCGCCGCCTCCCTCATAACCTTTTCTTTGACTCCATTAGCTCAGTCGCCTCCCGGGGGCTGGCAATTAACACTTTTCTCTCTCGTCCAACTTTTTCCTTTCTTGTCTGCGTGGCCGGTTCTGACGAGCAGAACTGGTCTCTTCACCCCGGACATGGCCTTTGAGACCATTGTGAAAAGGCAGATTGGGAAGATTAAAGAGCCTTGCACCAAATGTGTGGATATGGTCATGTCTGAGCTAGTCAATACGGTTAGGCAGTGTACCAAAAAGGTAAACAAAAGTAGTCAACGGTGGCTAGCAAACTTTCTTTTTTTTGTGTGTGTGTTCTCAAATCCCTTCGTCTGCAAAGACCCGTCGCTGTCACTTACGCTCCCCTTTTGTTTCGTGAACTTGTGCCGCTCGCTCCAGCCTCCTTGGGTTGTTTTGGACAGTGAGGGGCCTGGGGTGGGCTGCGGTGCACCTGCCTTGCCTTCTGCCGTCGCGTTTTGCTGGACAGGTTGTCCCGTGGCAGAGAGTAGTGCTGATGGGGATTTCAAAAACCAAAAAGGATGGAGGCTGAGTTGTTGTCAATGTATGGCTGCCAGGGAAGTTCATTTAGTGTTTTTTTTTTTTTTTTCGTACAGTGGAACCTGAAAGCTATACAAAGCATAAATATATTTGCCTCTATTGTTATATTAGACAGCAGTTATAGTGAATGTATTTTCACACATCCTGTTTTATAATATCAACAACATGGCCCTGAAATGGTTTATTTCCATTTCCATTTTGTCTTATGGACAAAACGATTCTAAACAACGAATTTTGAAGACTTTTTTCATGACCTTACTAACAGTGCACACATTTCCTAGTATGGAAAAGCGACGTAGCTGTAGAAAAAATATCCACGACCTCTCTTCTTGCTTTTAACTGGGAGCCACATTGGATGACCTCAGCGCCCAGACTTGTGCGCGTGCGTGTGTGTGTGTGTGCGCGCGCAAGACCGCAGCCGTGCACCTGTAGCATAAAAGAGCCGTGATGGTCGTTAAAAAAATATATATATATGTGTGTGTGGCCAAATTCCAACTCCACCGTGACAGCAGCCTTCCAAGAGCAAGCCTGGAGGCCTCTACGGGGATGCTCCGTGTTATTTTAGGGATATGGCGCGTGGAAAAGGGAGGGGTCAAGACAGGCAGTTTGCCCGGCTGCGGTCTCGCTCTTTCTCCCGTCTCGTCCCGAGGAGAGAAAAAAAAAAAAAAAAAAAAAACCCAACAAATGTCTCACTTTCATTTTGTTCCTTCTGTGCAGTTTGATCTTGCCACTCAACACTCCTCGTCTTTTTCGTCTGGGAAAACGTTGCCTCCCATCCATCCTTTTTCTACTCTCTTCCCTTCTGCTTCTTTTGCTTCTCCATTTCCTTCCCCGCCTCTTTTGTCGTTTCCCCGTGCCGCCCCTATCCCTGCAGGACGGGTCTGTTCACCCCGGACCTGGCATTTGAGGCAATAGTGAAAAAGCAGATCCAAAAACTGAAGGAGCCCACTCTGAAGTGTATAGACATGGTTGTCAATGAGCTCACCTTCACCATACAAAAGTGTAGTCAAAAGGTAAAAAAAAAAAAGAAAAATTAATAAAATGTTGTTATCTCTTGTAAAGTGTGCGGGTGGGGGCAGACCGATGGCTGGGCTTATTCGCCCGTTATTAACTTTAAGATATTTTGTTTTACAATTTAAAATGTGCCACAACTGAAGCATGAGGACACAGTGAAGAAATAATACAAAAAAAAAAGCTCATGTGGTAGCATGCTAACACGTTCTGAAGCTGCCAATGTCGGCATTTAACCAGTTTCACTATCAATGGCAGGTCGGATTTGCCGACTGAAAATTTTCAGAGAAGAAGAAGAAGAAGAACTCAACGGTTGTTTGTTTCACGTCTTATAAAATATTTGTTTTCTTCCTATACACGTATTTGTAACTGACATGTGGATACTATTCTGTCTTTTGTGGCTTGTATGGCGTGTATTTACACATGTCAACGTTGGAAACGGGAATCGCCAAGATTGAAGAAGCTATTCAACATCGTAGCATGCTAATCCTTTGCAGTTTTCGCGTAACGAATTCAATATCTGCCCAACCGCCGGCTGTAATCGGTCTCTCCTTCCTCAGGACTTTACCCGTGTGACCATTTAATACGTTCTGTTTGTTTTATGCGTCATTGTAGTCTTTCTTTTGATAGTTTACTCCCTTGATTTCAATTTCATCCGCATGTTAGGTCATTTTACTTCATATCTGGCCTTACCATGCTAAATCTCTACCTTTGACCCGCCTTGTCTTGGTGTTTGTCATTTTTTATGAACCTAACGTGGCCTAACAGTTCCACTCATTGACTAAGCGACGCCCTTCCACCATCTTGATTATTATTATTATTTTTTTTAAAGTTTCAAACTGCTTTTATTTGTCCTCCATCCCGTCATCTTGCCCAAGCGAGAGGGTGACCTCCTTTGGATTTCTCCTCTCTGTCACGCTGTTATTTTCGATTTTCACTTGCAGAGATTTACTGTTTCTTAAGACAGACTGTATTATGATATACAGTACTTGGGAAAATCCACAAAGGGGTCAGTTTGAAGTCGTCTGCATCACCCCCCCCCTCCCTCCGTCCCCTCCTCTTTGCTCCTTCCGCATTGCACATTTTGCATCTCTGCATGCGGTCTTGCTCGTGACTTGCTCGTTTTTTTTTTCTCCTCTTGACTTTATGTGGCACAAACCGATTTGCGCCGCTGCGTGTTGCAATGCGTCTTACCGATTGGCTACCTGCAAAAATGGACAATCCTGAAACGCTTAATGCTGACTAAAAGAAAAGGCTTGTGCTTTGTTTTGTCACAAAGATGTACGTGATGTTGATCGAGAAATCCAGGAAGATGGTTCAAAACTGAAACAGACTCTTGATGACTGGTTGCAAATTTTCAGATTTGCAAACTTTTTTAAATGTTATTTCACAATGACTGATTGACATGTTTTTTTTCTACTCAACGAAAAATGTCAGGTTAAAAGTGCATTGATTATTTTCATAAAATCCCATACCAATTGGACGTTGTTGGTTTGTGAGAGCGCAAAACCAGGAAGCCACCACTGGGAGGTGAAAAAGCGAACTCATCGTTCCCATTCAACTCTACTTCAAGATGCATTGTGACATGCAATTGAGAAAAAAAAAAAATTGTCATTTTTCCTTTAGTGTCTGTGTCTCGGTGGAGGCCTGCCAGTGCGTGTGTGTGCGTGTGTGTGTGTGTGTGTGTGTGTGTGTGTGTGCGTGTGTCATTGTGGCTTTGCAATGAGCTCATGGAAAAAAGCCCCTCAGTGTGCTGGGAAAGAGATGCTCCTCTGCCAGGAACAATGTTGATCTTGCATTTGTGTGGCAGTATCACAGACTTGGCACAATTCTTCTCTTGGCTTTCTAATTTGGTGATTTCTTCCTCGACGCATAAAATCTCCCAAAAAGTGGACCCCGCTAGCGCTAGCATCTGCGATAAGCATTTCTCTCAGCCCAGAACACTTTTTCTGTGTGCGTTGTTTTTATAGTGCTTGTAGTGGAACTTTGTGTTGTGGTTCATTGAGAGAAGTTTGTTTGTGTTTATGTTCGTGTGTGTGTGTGTGTGTGCACGCGCGCGCGCGCCACTGGCACATGCGTCCGACCCACTGTGCTGTGTGCTTGTAGCTGGCCCAGTACCCGATGCTGCGAGAAGAGATGGAGAGAATCGTCACTCAGCACATCAGAGACCGAGAGAGCCGCACCAAAGGCCAGGTAACGTTATTATGTTGTCATTATTAACATTCGAGACATTTCTTCTTCATTTCGCTGGACCACAAAATGAGTTGTTCAAAAAAATATGGACAGTGCGACATGAATCACGTTTAGTGATATTATCACTTTCCCAAGTGTTTTTTTTTACGACAATATGATCTTGTTAGGGCCATTTTGTCACAAAATAATTGATAGAATAATATACTGTATATAAAATAAAAATATTCTTAGATTACTTGCTCCAAAATGTTTTATTATTTTTGTAAATGTTAAATAATCACATTTCATGATTTTTTTTTCTTTCATTTATGTATACATTCTAAGCACAGCCTTACATCAAACGTGAAACGTTACCGTTGCTACTCCCAAAAGTAACAACAATGTTCGTCAGGTGCTCCTGCTGATCGACATCGAGTTGTCCTACATGAACACCAACCACGAAGACTTCATCGGCTTCGCCAAGTGAGTCCTCGGTGTCGTTTCGAGCGAGGTAGCCCGTCTTTGCGCCCGCGTGCTAATTTTGGTGCGTTGGATGCAGCGCCCAGCAGAGGATCAACCAGATGAACAAGAAGAAGGCGGCTGGCAATCAGGTGACTATATCCACCATTTTTTTTTTTTTTTTTTTTTTTAAATGGGTCGCTCCTGCCCCCGTGAACCC